TAATATTAATATAAATTAAAAAATGAAAAAAGGTATTTGTTGTTCTGATTTGCCTTTTTTTTTTCCCCAAAAAGAAATACAGTATGTCTTGTTGGTAAAATTTTGTGTTTTCTTTTGGATATGCAATTGCATTTGAGTGTGGGTAGGCTTAATATTAAAGATAACATTAAATAACAAGTTTTGGATACATGTGAATTGAATGTCCTACCAATTTCTAGATATCAATCATGAATCATCAAGTTATATTCTATATAATTTGTACAGTTGAAACAAGAATAATATTACCTCGCCAGCATAACTGTATTTAGCCTTGATAATCATTCTGTACAGCCGAGTCCTATTCTCATCATCGAATGGCATTGTCCCACTTAGAAGAATGTACGTAATTACACCTATTGCCCACAGGTCCACCTGGCAGGTGTAAGGCTTGCGGGCCAAGATCTCCGGAGCAATGTACTCCGGGGTCCCGCAAGTTGTCCTCATGAGATTGTCTGGACCCTTGAGCATGGCGCTCAGTCCAAAGTCAGTGATCATGATTTTAGAGTCATGACCAGGGTGGTAGTACAGTAAATTTTCAGGCTTGAGATCCCTGTGTGTAATTCCTAATCCATGCAAGTATTTCACCCCTTCTAAAACCATGATCAGCACTCGGGTAGCATCTCGTTCTGTGAAGCTGCCTTTGGCTATAATCCGATCGAAAAGCTCGCCCCCCGTGGCTAGTTCCATTACCATGTAGACTTTTTCAGACGCCTCAAACTCAAACACTTCTACCAGCTGAATGATGTAGATGTGTTTGACGCGACGTAGGACGTTCAGTTCTGCCTCAAACACCTCCTTCCCTTGAACCCTGTCGATCATTTTTATTGCATAAGGCTGTTTAGTCACCCTGTGTTCGGCCCGGACGACCCGACTAAAACTTCCTCGACCGATCAGGGCTTTGATGTCGTACTTGGCCGTCACTTTCGAATCGAATTTATCGCGGTACTTTTTCACCTTTTTATTCGTCCTCGGACCCTGCCCCTGATTTGGGTCATCGCGGTCAGTGCTGGGCTGTCGAGAATTAGAATCTCGCTGACGGAGGTGGGTTTGTGTTTTGATGTCAGCATCATGTCGGTTATTCCTGGTTTTCGGGTCTTGTCTGAAAACGGTTTCAACCAGGTGTGCGTTTGGTGGGGCTTCTGGCACTAGTTTTGTGCTCATGCAACCCATGGCGTGTCGAAACTGTACAAGGATACCTGGGACATCCCTTTAAACACACGAGATGCACCACAGAATAAAACACGGGGGTAAATCGAGCATAAAATGTACCCTTATTTCCGGATCCACATGGATTCCTCCATAGTTTTAACACAAACTTGAAGAGAAACAGGTGTGATAAACAACACGATTCCGCGGATGAAAATAGTGCGGCATCAATGGCATCACGAAATGGGTTCGATTACGAAAACGTTGAGGAAAGTCTTAATATCATCAAAACTAACTTATAAAAATGACATTGAAAATAAAATGTTCCATGAGTAGTGAATTATAAATAAAGACAAATTAACTTGATTGATTCTAGTTTCCAGTTCAGCGGATTTATCACGGAAGCCGAGCACTTCTTTAAAATACGGTCAATGCAGTCACATGACCAAACTATGACGTCACATGTTGTTATAACAACAAAATCTTTATTATAAATTTACTATCCCAGATATAATCCCATTTTCCCAGTTAGAAAACACTAACAGCGATTTTATGTTTACACGGCCAAATACCTCCTTAGCGTTGGGACCTCAATATTTAAAAAATATAATTTTGTTAGTGAAATTTATTCACTAACAAAATAATAGACTCTAATACATTTTTAGTTTCAGAGACAGGCCTTCTTCAGCTTTATTATTCTTTTAAAAATAAAAAAAAGTGGCAATCCCTTCGCAACCTCTTTGAAAGTCTTAGTTGCTTGTATTTTCTGATTCGGTTCATGAAATTCTACCATACGTGATGTGTTTGCACCATAAAACTTCAGCCGAAATAATTTGTACATGAATTGACAAGGAAACGAATAAAGTCGTCACAGACTACGGCTACGGCAAAATTAAATGCAGCTGTTGAAGTTGCTGTATTTTCTGAGTAAAGTAAAGCCTTGCAATTTTAAGTTGTATCATTATTTTATATATATATATATATATATATATGCTAACTACTGATCAGAACATTCAATTAGTGGAAGTGGAATACTTGTACAATTTAATTTATGCTAAAAATTAAAAGAAGGAAATTCACCCCCATTCCCATTGCTACGTTGGCGAGGCAATGTGGTGATGCTAAAAATAGAGAAGGGGTTTTACCAATAAATTTCTATAACTTTTTACAATCATAACAATGCTTTCTGTTGGCTATATGAAAGGGAAAAACAAAACAAATTGAATTTGTTTTATTTACAAAATACAATTTAAGTTTAAGCAGAAATAAGTGGGGGAAAGTTCATATATTATATTTAACATTCATTAATTATTAGTAATTTTAATTTAAGTTAGAAAATATTATTGTTCAGCTGAAAATGTATAATGATCATTTTCCAATCGCATTCTTAAATGTTATAGAGTTCATAGTTCTAGATCATTCTAGTTAGACAGCCCTTACATAAAAATTGAAATAAAACCGAAATCTAGTCAAGAAAAATAAACATATATTTCATTGAAATTGAAGGAAATCTATTATGAATTATCTCCCATTTATTTAACCTTTTACTGATTCTGATTGGGTACGTTGCCGTCGTTGCTGCATCCATGATCTGGCATAATTTGCGTCAAATTTCTTTTTGAATGCATTATTTTGTTTTACTATACAGTATTGTGAACTGAAAAATGATTCGACCAAATTTCCATTCGATCAAATTTCCGTCGATCAGTTTTCCGTCGAACAAATTTCGTTCAAACAAATTTATGGTAACCATTCTTTTACAATGTTCTGAAACATTTCACGTCACAGGCATTCTTTCTTTTTAAATGGGTATTGCCACCCTCAGGTTTCGGTGAAAGGTGCAGGATCAGACCATTGTGTTCTTTCACCGGGTCACCGGTTGGTAAATCATCATCATTTTTATTGTTCAGCTTCTGCCACATCTGCAAATTTCTCTTTTCTTTAGTCTAGTTTCTCTCGTCTTCATGCTGTGTTCTGCACAGTCTTGTCTGAATTCTTCTTCTTCTATATATTAAGGGTCCACGATCAATGTATTGATCATTTTTGGCTCCTATGTATGCAGAGGGATTTGCAATGTTTCTGTGCCTGGTGTTGAAGAGGATATTACAATAGGGGATATGTCTTAATTAACACAATACGTATAGTAGGGAATATGACTTATTGAAGAGGATATTACAGCAGGGGGATATGCCTTATTTGATTACATCAGTCAATACAACACAAACTTACTTCTCAGACATTTCATCTTGTTTGACGCAATATCCTAATTGTACTCTTACTTTTCTTTATGTCCCTTTTCTTCATACCCCTGCTTCTACACTGGCTATTGTTTTTAAAAACGACTAATAGATCCACTTCCCGTCAACCAATCGAGCTGAAACTCATAGACTCATTACCGATGACAGCACACTATATTGATTTTCAGCCTCATCCCCACAAACTAAACCTAAAAAAAATCAATTTTATTTTACTGTTTTTCAAGTGGTACATAATGAAAATTCCTGATAACTTGGCTAAATGAGATTATTTTTAAATAAAATTTTATCGCAAGTGAGTTTGGTGCGTAATTTTTTTTTTTTTATTTTTTTTTTGTTGTTTTTGTTGAAATGTTTGGTGAAATAAATGTGGTGTAAAAGCAATTGGGTCATTAGAATATTAATGTAGTTCAGGGGCATCAAAAAAATGTGCGGTTGCGAGCCTTTGTAGGGGGGGGGGGGAAGCACTAATTGGGATTTTTAAAAAGTGCTTTACTTTTAAATTTTTTCAAATTCTCAGCCCCCCCCCCCCCATTGCTAAATATTACATTTTATAAAGGATTTACCTGAAAAACTTTTTTTCTAAGGTTTGTTAAATTTAATAAAAACGGAAATTATACAATCATCATTCAGTTTCACATTATCTAGTCATTGCACACTGCTGCCACTGAGCCTTGCCTCTGCTTTGCAACTAAATATATATGGCCATTTTTTTCTGAATCACATGATGACGTTTCCCGAATTTAGCTTTTGGTCTCCAATTCCAGTTCATCTCACTTTGGTTGCCCCTATGCAGCTCAGGTTGCAGATGTTTGCTCAGATTGCAGCGGTTCAGCCAGGTTTACAGTCTCATAAAATGTGAGCCCAGGAGATCTGTCCTTGGAAAGAATGATTGACCCTTGATGTTACCAATGACCTGGCAGTGATGTCCCTGATCCTACAGATGCCGATTGTGTTGGAATTTTCGTGTGCCCTTATTTCTCTTCATACTCGTCTCTTCTTGAGTTGTTTACTTTGTTGTTTGACGGAAAAATGAAAAACTTAATTCTGACTTGGGGCAGGCTGTGGTGTGGAGTTTCAGTAGTTTCACGGAGTATAGGTTTCTCAAGACATTCACTGTTATCTTTGGACCAGAGTGCCCCACATTAAGATTTTGTAATCTTTGGACCAGAGTGCCCCACATTAAGATTTTGTTATCTTTGGACCAGAGTGCCCCACATTAAGATTTTGTTATCTTTGGACCAGAGTGCCCCACTTTAAGATTTTGTTATCTTTGGACCAGAGTGCCCCACATTAAGATTTTGTTATCTTTGGACCAGATTGCCCCACATTAAGATTTTTTAAAAAGGTTTAAACAAAGAAATCATTAATTGTTTCACCCGAACAGACAAAGATGAATTTATCAGTCAGAAGCCAAATAAATGAAAGCGGTCCTAGACTGTTGCAGTTAAACGAAAGTGGCATTGTTTTAAATTTTCTATTACATTTCAAACAAAAGTGAAATAAATATCAAGAATATATTAAATTGATACTAAAATGAATTAGAACTCAAGAGACTATCAAAATGAAGGAATTTGTTTTTATTTGTCATCGTTATGTTATCAAAATATCCATCATTTTTTTTTCTTGCTGTAAGGTTTCTTATCATCATCTGCTTGTTTGCTCTTAATTTTCCCCTGTGGACAAAACAAAAATATATTGTGTAACTATACACTGCAGTAATGTTTACAATCATAAACATTCAATGCTAGTTTTTATGTCCGCTCCACATAAGACATTTTGGTAGAGATTTAGAAAAATAAATCAAAACTGATTTTACATTAAGAAACCAGATAAGTAACTAACAAGTGATTTTGTGTGGATGTCCATAGATCAATACTACTTACACTTGATTTTGTGTGGATGTCCATAGATCAATACTACTTACACTTGATTTTGTGTGGATGTCCATAGATCAATACTACTTACACTTGACATGTTTGGATGTCCATAGATCAATACTACTTACAGTTGATTTTGTTTGGATGTCCATAGATCAATACAAACTTACACTTGATTTTGTTTGGATGTCCATAGATCAATACAAACTTACACTTGATTTTGTTTGGATGTCCATAGATCAATACAAACTTACACTTGATTTTGTTTGGATGTCCATAGATCAATACAAACTTACACTTGATTTTGTTTGAATGTCCATAGATCAATGCTACTTACACTTGATTTTGTTTGGATGTCCATAGATCAATACTACTTACACTTGATTTTGTTTGGATGTCCATAGATCAATACAAACTTACACTTGATTTTGTTTGGATGTCCATAGATCAATACTACTTACACTTGATTTTGTGTGGATGTCCATAGATCAATACAAACTTACACTTGATTTTGTTTGGATGTCCATAGATCAATACAAACTTACACTTGATTTTGTTTGGATGTCCATAGATCAATACAAACTTACACTTGATTTTGTGTGGATGTCCATAGATCAATACAAACTTACACTTGATTTTGTTTGGGTGACCAAGACTTTAGTTGAGCCCTCTGAGGACCAAAGACAGACTAAAGAGTCTTCACCTCCAGTCAGTAAAGTTTTTGTCTGAAAAATAAAAAAAGTTACAAAGCAGTGATTAGCAGTTACAAAAAATATGTCAGTATTTCTGTGAACTGTCTTAAAGATGACCTAAATGAAGATAAAAAAGATTTAAGATAACCTTACCAGTACAAAGTGTACAACATCACAACAAATGTTGAAGCCAAAGTTTTTCCAGGCCATGACACTCCAAAATAACGGTAGTTTTTGTGAGAATCTCACTATAGGCTACTATAATTACATTGATTATAATTTGTCAGTTAGTGAAAGTCTTATTCATTTAGCAATTGTTTTTTTTAAATATGGGAATGTGTGAAATTTAGCCTTTAACTTTAAGTACGAAATTATTACATGTTAAATTCCCCCCAAAAAAGAGCAAACTGTAAAATTATGGGATTAGTTAGCAGGTTACCAATAAAAACAATTTCATTTTCCACTGAAATAATCCACAATGGTTTTAAAAAAATATGTAAACAAATAAACAGCTCTCACCTTAGAATCCCAGTGAGAGCACCTGACTGTGGCAGTATGACCATTTTTCAGATCAGTAAGCTGATGTGCACCTTCATCAGAACAGGACATCAATCGCAATAGGCCACTAGAAAAAAAAACCCGCCCATAATGACAGTAAGTTACACAGGATGAGTTTCAACTCATTCATCATGGCAAGTGAAAGAATAAAAACACCAGTCTCCCACACAGGCTGAGTGTGAGTGACCCCTTCATCATAGTACAACTTTTCAAAGCAAATTTATGATTTGTATTTTTGTTTAAAGATGTATTTTGTGTCATGACGCTGACTAAAAGGTTAGAGCAAGACCCACATTTTTAAACATTAGACGGATAGTTATTTCCACAAACAAATTTACAGAAAATAATGTTTAAAAAATGTTAATACTGTAGCACCTCGCAATAACGGCTCCTCTCTTAACGATGTATTGCATCAGCGGCCCTCTTAAATCTCCATATTTCTATTTCTTGTTTAGCTGTAAATCACGTACTGTACATACGAAATATATCATTAAAGGTGAACATTATGCACATTTCCCTTTCTGTCATTGTTTTATAGTTTGTGTAATTGCACACTTAATTTATATTAGCTCATATACATAGTACGTATTTTTGCTTGCAGGCATTCACGAGGCAAAAAAAAACTTAATTCATTTACCGCCTTTTTTCACTCAACGGCGAAGATCACCCCAATAAAGTCGTTATTGCGAGTTACTGGTTTTTATTGCTGGAATTTATTAGTTACTGAAATTATGCACCTACAAAAATTAAGGGCATAGTTGCAACAATCACCCCTAGGTATTAAAATGTTATCTTCTTCCAAATAGATAATAAAAAGAGTATATGCAATGATTGCAACTCACCTATGTGTACCTGTCAGAACTACAACTGAGTGTTTGTCATCAATTGCACTCAGCTCGGGTATACAGTCAATGATATAATCTGAAGGCATCTGAAATGCAAATGTCAGAAGTAAATTGACAAGGTAAATCAAGACTTAATTGAAGCTAAAGTCTTCATCTATTTACTAGAGCAAATCCCTAAATTTGAAACAGAGACAAAGATATGTGCACAATTTTAAAAAAGCTTTTCAAGTTCAATTCCACCAAACATTAAAAACTACCGTTACTATAAAAGTGAGGAAAAAATGTTCACCCTTAGATTTTGGGTCATTAGTCTTAGAAATTAATTAGTGGCACACCAATGAAAAAGGAACAATGTAATGGAGAATGCACAGATATTTGGAAATGAAATAAGGTCATTGGAAGCTTAAATTTGAATAATCAAGACAATATGTCGAAATTACCTTAACAATTATTTATTTTTCAATTAAATGTTCTAGTCTATTTGGCTCTTGTAATCAATTTTTTAAAACTCGTTTTTAATAATAAAAAAAAATATTTAAACAAAAACTTAGTTTGATGTTGCGGCCATGAGTTCAATTATAATTTTGAAAATATATTTGTTGCATTGCCTATGAGCCATACTGACTTGTAAACTTCTTAACCTGGCATCACGACTGATTGATCAAGGTGCCCACCAACAAATGGAAATATGGACATGTGAAGATTACTTACAGAAGGTTCAATGCATGAGAACAGTTACAATAGACATGGTTACACTTGGTTCCAAAGATGTCACAAGTAATTACAGACTACAATACAAATAAAGCTAAGGCTTGCCACAAAAGGGACATAATGTGGTCACAAAAAATATGACAGTGGAAACATTCAGTTTGGTAGAGGTGGGACAAAAATTAATTGCAAGATTTGACCATGACAGGCAGACATGTCATTATCGACAGGCAGACATGTCATTATCGACAGGCAGACATGTCATTATCAGAACTATTGATCTTCAACAGGAAAGATTTATAAGAAAATTGTTCTTTGGAATGAATTGAATTTGTTCAGTGGTCAAGGATTTAAAACTTTACAAAATGAAGTTATGAGTAACACATATTTCTTCTTTATAGTTAATAACACCAGCAGATTTCCATTATTTGTCATACTTTACAGCAACCAAAGATTTTAACAGAATTGTGTTACATATCTCTTTAAAATGGGATAAATTAGTTACCTTGGGTGAATTTGTCAAGTCTGACACAGTGCAATATGTCTCTCCCTAGAAAAAAAAACACAATCTTTGAAAGGCTTTTAAAATTTGATGTGATAAAATGGTTGTAGTTGGTTATAAGCTGATATATTATGAAAACATATAAAATTGTTGTAAATCACAGTAGGACACAGAAAGGGTAAGGAACCAGAGAGGGAAATTTTTATCATGTCGATATAGAGGGTACAAAAGAGTTAACAATTTTTAGAATCCATGTCTGAAGTTCAAGATGTAATAGCAATATATAAATTTGTGGGGAAATTCATGAGGCTTCTAAAAATGTTTGTTTCAAAACAAATAATTTCAACAGCATACTTTTTTTTTTAAATGAAAATGTGTAATCAATTTTTTTTGGTTATCAGATGCAAAGAAGAAAAAAAACAACAACCTGAATTATTTAACATCATCTGTGTATTCAGAAAGCAAATTCATTTTTGTATTACATATGCACAACTTAGAACATTACAGGAGCATGTGACAGAAAACTATTTGATAATATGTGCCAAATTGGGGAATAAAATTATAAAAATTACCACCCCTCCACAAAGTATTCACAAAAATACAGGTTATGATTACTTTACCTTTTCAGAATTATTTACACATTACAAAACATATTAGTAGATAAATTTAAATCTCCTGGTACTCAGTTTCTTTTGTTTTGTTCTTTTTTAAACAAAGGTAAGTGACAATCTTGCTACTTTTGATGGTTTTTTCTTCTTTGCTTTCCTAATTTATAGCACACAACATATGCAATTTCTTTTTAAATCTGTGCATTCAGGAACTATTGGATGTATTCTGCTGTATTGTGTGTTATTTACATTTGAGACACTTGGAGCATCACCAGTTTGGGTAAATCACCTAATGCTCAAATAGTTTCATCAGTGAAGTCAATTCAGAGTTAAAAATGTTAGGTAGCTTTTGTTCATCTATACATAATTTTCTTTTCAACAATCCTGAAGAGATTATAGCTGGCAATATCAACAAAATGGAAAAATGGTAAGTCCAGTGCTGTTCTCTTTACTAATGGTGATATATCCATTTATAGACTGGTCAACACCACACATGAATGAATTGTATGATTTCAACATCTTATTTAACAATATTTGGTTATCTCTTCAATATTATCTCAACACACCATCAGTTTTGGTTCTGTTCGCAAAAGACAATCCATTTACTGTCGTATTATTAGAAATAAAGTGTGACTGTTTTATTTTTCTCCACTGAACATTGTCTCTTATCCACTACATATCCCATTGCCTCTTATCCACCACATATCAAATAGCCTCTTATCCACCACATATCAAATAGCCTCTTATCCATCACATATAACATTGTCTCTTATCCATCACATATCACATTGTCTCTTACCCACCACATATCACAGTGTCTCATATCCACCACATATCACATTGCTTTGTCTCTTATCTTATTTCGTCCTGATAAAAAAATTTCCTTTGCACAGTTTGTCCTTCTTGTCGGTTTCAATATTAGAAAAATTGAAGAACGTCATAATTTGATTAAATCTGTTTTTGGGAAGAAAGCATTAGCTGAAAATTTCATGGTAGTAATGAAAGATTGTTGAAGTTGTTGAGTATTTTTGTACACCGGGGACTGGTAGAGTTGCCATGCACATTAGTGGTCCTAGAAATATGTACAATTCATCTGTTGAAATGTTTAACAACCTCTGATGATGGGAGGTTTAGAAGGTCCTATGGTAGTTGAATAGCTGGTGTAGTTTACAAATGTTTCAACCAAATCCAGTGTGAAAAAATCTTTGAAGAAACTGGCTCACTGTATCCATGTTGACATTTCTTCCCTGAGATGTAAGCCCCGGTTTCTGGCTGGAGGAAACTTAGGAATGGGATCTGGTGGGTCATCATCTTGTACATCAATGGAGTTGAACCTGTGAATGTAAAAGAGCAACTAATATTATAGACCTATATGCTACTTATAGGGATGACATGAATACAATATATATGCTTCACTTAAATTTCCAATTTTTAATACTTCCAATACTGTCTAAAAACCATTACGCCTATAAAATTTAGATCAGTGAATTAAATTTTTACAACACAAACAGATATCAAATTTCATGACCTTTAGAATGAAATATATCATAATAAGCAGTGCTAACCGCATTGTTTACATTCCTTAGCAACAGTTGCTGAGAATAACGACATCTCAAAATATCTATGTAATAAAATTTTCCCATATTATGAAGCGATTTTTATTTTCATAATTTCATTTAAAAATGGCTAGTTAATATTTCTATATTCTTAAAAACACAAATGAAACAGATAAATAAAAAAAGTATTAATAAAACCCAAAATTTTTTAAAACCTGAATGATGAACCACTTGATTACTAACCTTCTAGTATTAACAACTTAAATGGGTTGCAAAGGAAGATTCTCATCAAAATCTGAATCAGAATCACTTGATTCAGGTTCCCCACTATTTTCCCCAGAAGATTCAAATAAAGGTGATAGATATTTTCATCAGTAATATTTATTATTCACGATTCTGCACTGCCACGCCGACAAGTGTCTTACACACATTTGCCAAAGATGGCGACTCTCGCTTTGGCGTGTCCCGCGAATCTCAAACTCGCAAAAAAACAACCAAAAAAAACATAAATATTATTAAAAACTTTAAAGTTTTTAAAATGTATATTTTGTATATTTTTCTTCCAATTGTACCATGAAATAAATTAAGAATAGTTAAAAGAATAAAAAAAAATACAAAATTTTATGAGTGAAAATAACAGGAGTAAACAAATTTACACTCTCTAAACTTAAATCAAATGAACTTTATTGTGGTGTATACCTATCTCTTGAGTTATCAGTTTTAAAAAAGTATGAGTTCCGTTCCCGATAATAGAATCCCTCATTTTCACACTTAGCTACAAACACACCACAGATTAAAAATCTCTCAGCACTCACCTGTAATGCCTCCCACACATGAACACTGTGGTCACTTGTCACACAATAGACACACTGTTGTCGGTCTTTACCGCACCATCCTACACGAGACTACAGAATTGACATAACAAAATGTTGATTAAAAACAGTCAAGTCTAAAATATAATTTTGAAAGAAAGCGGGGCTGAGCATTTAAAAATAGTGGTCTTCACATTTTTGAACCTCTAGAGCAGTGGTTCTCAACCTTTCTAATGCTGCAACCCTTTTATACAGTTACACATATTGTGGCGACCCCTAACCACAAAAATATTTTTGTTGATTCTTTATAACTGAACAGTATATGTGTCTTCAGAAGGTCTTATGAGACCCCTGTGAATAGGTCGTGCGACCCCCAAAGGGGTCGCGACCCACAGGTTGAGAACCGCTGCTCTAGAGAAAGGGTTGTTGACCACCAGAAGACGTCACAGAAATACCAAATTCTTAAAGAGACTAACAATTTTTCTGAAGAGTGGCTTCTACTTGAGCTTAAATTAAGAATCTGGAAAACTGAAATTTCTGACATTCATATTTTTCAAAGAGTAAATTTTCTGAAAGATTATGTATATGTACTTGTATGATTTCCTTGTTTTAGATTAACCTAATCAATAGCACTTCGTGACTCTAAGGCCCTCAGTCTGAGCCATGAGCCATTGAGAAGGAATTTCGAGATCATCTGCAAAACTACTTAATTTGGAGACCTGCATTATATTAGTTGAAATACACAAGAGTTAATCACAACGGTTAGACAGAACTTGGGACAGAACTGAGAAAGCATTACATGAAAAAACCCTATCAGAAATAGCATTCCATGACAACATACCACATCAGATATAGCATTACATGACAACATACCACATCAGATATAGCATTACATGACAACATACCACATCAGATATAGCATTACATGACAACACACCACATCAGATATAGCATTACATGACAACATACCACATCAGATATAGCATTACATGACAACATACCACATCAGATATAGCATTACATGACAACATACCACATCAGATATAGCATTACATGACAACATACCACATCAGATATAGCATTACATGACAACATACCACATCAGATATAGCATTACATGACAACACACCACATCAGATATAGCATTACATGACAACATACCACATCAGATATAGCATTACATGACAACATACCACATCAGATATAGCATTACATGACAACATACCACATCAGATATAGCATTACATGACAACATACCACATCAGATATAGCATTACATGACAACATACCACATCAGATATAGCATTACATGACAACATACCACATCAGATATAGCATTACATGACAACATACCACATCAGATATAGCATTACATGACAACATACCACATCAGATATAGCATTACATGACAACATACCACATCAGATATAGCATTACATGACAACATACCACATCAGATATAGCATTACATGACAACACACCACATCAGATATAGCATTCCATGACAACATACCACATAAGACAGCATTACATGACAACATACCACATAAGACAGCATTACATGACAACATACCACATCAGATATAGCATTACATGACAACACACCACATCAGATATAGCATTCCATGACAACATACCACATAAGACAGCATTCCATGACAACATACCACATAAGACATCATTACATGACAACATACCACATAAGACAGCATTACATGACAACATACCACATCAGATATAGCATTACATGACAACACACCACATAAGACAGCATTCCATGACAACATACCACATAAGACAGCATTACATGACAACATACCACATCAGAAATAGCATTCCATGACAACACACCACATAAGACAGCATTACATGACAACATACCACATAAGACAGCATTACATGACAACACACCACATCAGAAATAGCATTCCATGACAACACACCACATAAGACAGCATTACATGACAACATACCACATAAGACAGCATTACATGACAACACACCACATCAGAAATAGCATTCCATGACAACACACCACATAAGACAGCATTCCATGACAACATACCACATAAGACAGCATTACATGACAACATACCACATAAGACAGCATTACATGACAACATACCACATAAGACAGCATTACATGACAACATACCACATCAGATATAGCATTACATGACAACACACCACATCAGATATAGCATTACATGACAACAAAGCACATAAGACAGCATTACATGACAACATATCCCCATAAGACATAGCATTACATAATAATAATAATAATAAAGTTTATTTGAAAAACACGCTTCATCCCCAAAAGCTCAAAGCGCGGTACAAAGTCAACCATATTAAAAAGAGAAATAAAAACATCCAAAATTTACCACATTTAAAAACAGACGCAACAACATGACAACATACCACATAAGACATAGCATTACATGACAACATACCCCCATATGACATAGCATTACATGACAACACACCCCCATAAGACATAGCATTACATGACAACACACCCCCATAAGAGATAGCATTACATGACAACATACCACATCAGACATAGCATTACATGTTATCTGTAACGCATCATCTTCAGATGTTTCTTGCAGATCAAATGTACACAGCAAGCCGTCAGCCGAACCAGACGCCAAGAACCGGTCACTGCCTGGCTGAAAACTGACCTAAATTTGATATAAAAATTTAAACAATTATTCCTAATAACAGTACAAATGTCAGATATGAATTATATAATTATAAATAATGCAGTGGTTCCCAAACTTTTTTGACTAGCAGAACACCTTTTAAGAATCAATTTCTATGGAGGAACTCGTGCCCTTTGCCCACAAGTTAATAGTGTTCAGGACTTCCCTGGAGCAGCTGTGGAGCCCCTGAGCAGTGCGACGCACAGGTTGGAAAAGACTGGTATTATATGTGGAATAATCTCAATTTAACTGATAAAACAGAAATAAGTGTCTATCGGGAATGTGTGCTTAGTACGCTCCTTAATGGTAGTGAAGTGTGGACCGATATACCAGTTAGGAGCGGAAACTCAACAGATTCCATCAAAGATGTCTGCGTCGTATTTTACGCATTCGATGGCAGGACAAGGTGCCTAACACGGAGGTCTTTGAATGTGCACACATGTTTAGAATATTCTCCTTTCTTAGCAATAGGCGCCTTCGCTGGTTAGGTCATGTACGGAGAATGGAGGAAGGCCGTATCCCAAAGATGCCGCTTTATGGAGAGTTGGCAGAAGGGACAAGACTTATTGGACAGCCACGCCTGAGATTTATGGATGTTTGCAAAAGGAGCATGAGGGAAGCCAATATTGAAAACAAGGAATGGGAGCTCATTGCCGAACAACGTTCCATCTGGCATAAAGCAGTGTATGAAGGAGTCAAAAAGGCAGAAGATACGCGAAACGAGGCCCTTGCAGTGCAACAAAAAGAACAAAACAGAAGTCAAAATCTTACCATGAATCAATGAGAGAGATGCGGTTGAGATTGTCATTCTCAAATTAGCTTAGTGAGCTGGAAGTGTAGGACTATATAGCTACTCTATTGTCTTACGAAGACGGAAGGATGCCGTATATATAGTAATATATATATATATATTGAGTACTAAATGCTAGGGTGCATGTTTGTGTGGTTGTATTATGTCAAAACAAATCTGTTCTGTTACGCTCTTTGAGTATTGTTGATTAACGATCTGAATAGTAAAGGCCTTCAGACGAATACAGAAATGCCATGACTGTTAGAAACGTAAGTCAGCTGTTGAAATCTGTGTTCTGATGATCATGTTAAAAGATCAAGTAAACCTCTTTAAAGAGCTGGTCTATGGACAGAACCACTGAGAACATCCAGGTTGTGTGCTCTGTATTAATCATGTTTGTGTTGTCCAGTTTATATGATGTTTGTGTTTTTCCGTTTACATGATGTTTGTGTAGACATGTGCTCATCAATTGTATTGTCAGACACAGAAATCAGATTCCTTCAGATGCCTTCATCCTGTAACCAATAAATTAATGCCATGGTCCACGGCATGCTGCAAAAAAAACTAAAAATAACTTCTTATCATTATTATTAGGCTAACTATAATAATTTATTAAGATATCCATTTTACCTGAGTTATGTCATCTTGATGACAGTCACCATAGCAACCCAAAACATTGGTCTGCCTGCAGTCCCTGTGGAAATAGAAACACCATCATTCTTTGTTTGGTTGCTAGGACTTACTGCCCTTGATAAATGCGTTAACTTTTTAGTTGAAATAATAAAAAGAACTGGCGATAAAATTCTGCCAGCTACCGCCTTTTTAATGAAACAAGTATTTATCAGTAATAATCATCACCGTAGCTTCCTTTTAAAAAGTAATTTCTTTCTTGATATTTACTAATCCAACGTCCCCCATCATCACATACAATCCCAGATCCCTTACACAATCCACAAAAAATCCTCTAATTATATCCTTTTTTTTCTTATCTTCTCATTTTTCTCTATGAAAGCATTTAGAAACTTACCAAAAAAGCAAATAAGAATCATTACTGACCATCTCAGTGCCGGCACATAGAAGTCTGTCGGAACTACTGACGTCCAGACTTAGAATGTCAGCTTTGACACTTGGTGGGGCTGAATAAAACAAGCAAGGAATTTTCTTTTTTTTTTTTTATAAAATACTTGATCTCCAATGTGTTTTAGAGAACAAGGTTTGGCAACATTTGGCACCCAAATCCAATCTATGTGGCCCTTGCCTCAATTTTTAAATCTAAATTGGCTTTAAAAAAAAACAAAAATAATGAGGCAAAGTGATGTTTACTTAGCTGGTGCTCTTAAATAATGTTGCCAGCCTATGAAGTAGACAACTGCAGTGACTCTGATTTAACAGCAATGATCAATGTGAGTGATAGCAGTGACTCTGATTTAACAGCAATGATCAATGTGAGTGATAGCAGTGACTCTGATTTAACAGCAATGATCAATGTGAGTGATAGCAGTGACTCTGATTTAACAGCAATGATCAATGTGAGTGATAGCAGTGACTCTGATTTAACAGCAATGATCAATGTGAGTGATAGCAGTGACTCTGATTTAACAGCAATGATCAATGTGAGTGATAGCAGTGACTCTGATTTAACAGCAATGATCAATGTGAGTGATAATGCTAAAACTGCTTGCTGGTATTAATCTAGCATTAGTAGAGATGTCCACTCAACACAATGTTCTTTTTTTTTTGCACCAGTACAAACATACATTAAATGTTCATGACTGACCTAGCCAGAGTGCAAAATGATGATTTTAAAAAATGTGTATAGCTCATATGAAGATAAACATGAAAGTGGATATCCGGATCCAGGCATTTCCTATGACCCGAAATGCGGCTCTCCCATCCTAAATAAGTTCAGTATCACATCTATCAAAAAACATTTCACAAATCTTTTATAAATAATTACCGAAATCCCACCACTTATAACATGACACACTACATCCAATAACTACAATAAAGATGTGCATAGTTATATCTTTATAAATTAACATTTATTTTTAATATCTGTGTATTCTTATTATTAGTTTAAAAAAAAAAAATTAGATTTCTCTTTCAGTAATTTTAGACAAGTATATTTTATTGCTAATACTAAATACTTCCATTTTGCACTACAGTCTTATCAGTTTTTTAATGACAGTGCATACATGAGATTGTTGAAATGGCTAACCTGAAATTAAATAATTTTTATTTTAACTTACTTTTATAAGTCTGGGCCTCTTTGACCGGGGATGTTCGCGTGTCCCAGCACCTGCATGTTTACAAACATCAACACATAAAATGTAAATTATAAGTTGATTGTTAACAAACATCAATTCAGATGGCTTTATCTTGCCAAGTGTCATTTTATGGTATACATGAACAAAGTAATGTATAAGCTTTACTGTGCACATAAAAATATCTGAACAATTATTTTCCTTATAGTACCCCGCTGAATTTTATCCAGCAATATGAATAACTTTAGTGTTAAATTTCGGTATTCACATTTTCAATACAACATATGAGCATTTCTTAGTTAAGCTATCAAAATATTTTATCAACAAAAATGTAAAAAAAAAATCAAAGCAAAAAATATTTAGAGACTTCTTTCTCAAATGGTGAACATGAGTTTGTCAACTAATTCACCAAAATAAACAATGAGTCTTTCTGTAAGTTTACATTGTAAAATAAAACTAACAACTATCAAGTAATGTAAAATTTATTGGGGAAAAATGTTCAAGACATAGAACTGTAATATCTACACAGGAACTTCCTGAAGCAATGTGTTAAATCTTTTTTATATTGTTCACTTATTTATTTAAGGCTAGCTTCAGCTTTGCAGCTTCATTTTTTTTATATTTTTTTTTTAAAGTCAATTTAAAATTTATTATACATGAACAAATAAAAATGTTTTCAAGAAACAGAAACCTGACTCCATTGGAATTGGCAGATGGGTTTACAACTACTTATCCAGCAATAAGTGTTTAGACATAGATATTGAGACTTCTTATACTTGTGAGTAACATATTTACAGTGCATTATGGAGGCCCCTCGGCAGTCAAAATTTCTCAAAGAAAACCTTTCTGTGACAGTCTTTTTGAGTGTGAGTCTTCTTCTTCTTCTTATATTTGAGGGGTCCACAATCAATTTGCTGATCATTCTGGCTCCTGGTTTAAATTCAGAGTTTGCTTTCTCTAAGATGGGTTGCTGTCCAAGGCTGTCCCATCCATCCGGGGTGCTTGGGATGTTGGCTTTGGTGGGGATTGAACTCCAGACCATCAGTTATTTGGTGTGAGACAGTTTAGACAGCTCGGCCACCCAGCACCCCTTTACTTAATTATCATGACTGACAAATTAGGTCTAGTCCATTTCTCCACCACCCCTAAATTTAATACTTTCTTTGTATGACTTCCTGAGATGCCTGTCACTATGATACATTATGTCATTGGATGTACATTTAAGTCCCCCCTAAAAATGTGCCTTCCTTTTAGTCTACCCTTTGATAATTCTGGTACTGCATGTTTGAACTCACATGAGTGGAGCAATCATTACAGTTTTATAATTTAAAAAGCTTAGACATGTCCCATTTAAACTCTTAGAAACCTCACAAACCTGATGCTTTTGTCTCTTGAACAGGAAAATACCAGGTGATCGTCAGTTTTACCAAACTGAACTTTAGTGATTGTATCTTTATGGCCTGTTAAAAAAACAGATTTATTTTCAAGCAGTTAAACAAAAATAACAACAAAGGAAAACAAAAAGCATTTGAAAAAACCTTTCTGCAATGCATGGCTGGTTCCCAAACCATGAGTAACACCCCACAAGGGTAGGTAATTTTAAGTTGCAGTTTAAAGAGATATAAACCTGAAAATATTCATTGTTTGCTTGCTTTAAAATAGCTAAATTTTAATATGCTTATAAGTACCCCGTTATTAGCATCAGTAGTTGCTTCACATAAGCTGTCTGCATTTGGATTAATTTGTTTATATATTTTACATTAAAAATATTTATTTTTGTTTGGTCAGACATCAGAGATTTGATCCTTCAAGGATATTTTTTACAACATAGCACAGTAGTAGCACAATCCCCATTTAAAAGTTTTCTGTCAACCAATTAGAAAAAAAAAATTATTTCAAGTCCATTAAAATCACCCCACCCCCCTTTTTCAACAAAAAAAAATTTCCCATTTTCTAATTATTAGATCTGGCTCTACTAAATGGAAGCTTTCATTGATCTTCTAAGTACACCATGTGTGGAGAGTAGGGGTGTGCCGGACCCCGGTCCGGAATCCGGTTCCGCCGGATTTTGCACTATCCGGTGAAATCCGGTTCCGCCGGATTTACATGTATCCGGAACAACCGGATTCCGGATTCCGGAATATACCGGATTTCGGAATTTGCCAGATTTTGTGACTCACCGGATCATAATCTGAAATAAAAGTAATTCTCTTTCCCGAATTTCACACGATCACGATACATTAATCGATTGTTTCGAGCGTTGAGCTTGTTTAATGTTTAATATTCCGTACATACCAGAGGCTAGAGTCAGCACCGCTAATAGTGGCCAATAGTGTAGGGACTTTGATAAGAAAATTTAAACTTTTTGTAAAAATAAACCAATGGCATAGTTGAAAAGATGTAATTTTTTAAAGAATTATAACACCAAAATCATATTTTTAGCTGTTGTAGTTTTAAAGTTATGAATTTTTAAAGTACGACTTGGTTTGTCATTTTTTAACATGGACTGCATCTCCACATTCTGTGATCTCATTCCACCAATCCCGTCATGCGCAATGACTATATAGTTTATATAAGGCAACGCATTCCCTGCCTTATCACTAAAATACTGTTTAGACTTAGTTTAAACTTTCAACTTTGGCACATGAATAATTAATTAAAGCTTTCCCTGACCAATGGTTTAATAGTTTTTGCACACGGCAAACTCTTATGAATGAAACTCTGAGGTAGTACTACGATACAGTTATGCAAGTGGCTGTGAATGGTTGCCAATGACAACGTGTTGCACACGGTAAATTCTGATCATTTATAATATGGATTCTACCGGGTTGTTAAAGCTCAAATTAAAACATTCCAGTTTAAATGTCTTTAAATGCATTCTGAAACACAAGTTATCAATTATTTTGATGTAAATAGTGATAATAAATTAATATTTCCTAAGTATCGTCAACTTCCGCCATTAAAAAGGGGGGCGTGGCCAACCCCATGGCGAAATTAGGTTGAGCGAGCTGCATAACCTGCTGCGAACGCGTAGAAACATGGCGTCTCTCGTAAGACACTTATCCAAATGGAACGGAACTCAAATATATATCGAAAGTACTAATTTAATAATAAATAGACACACACACCGGAAAATTAAAAACTCGGATTTTTGGCGCCGATTGCAAATTCCCATACACAAAAAGTAGTAGTCCACCTTGACTTACCGAAGTATCTACCAATAGTACCAAAATCCGGAATCCGGGAGAAACCGGAATCCGGATCCGGCGGATTTCGCATAAGAAAATCCGGATCCGGATCCGGTTGGAAAAAACGGATCCGGCACACCCCTAGTGGAGAGTGCCTGTTTGCATTTATAAATCTTCAGCCTAAAAAAGACATGTGATAGAACTAATTAATTTATGGTGATTTCACCTTTTATAGTCGACACAGGGGTGAGCCTTGTTCTGGACATGAGTCTGATAGTGAAGTTACTACATGCTGCAGCTATCAATGGATCATTATTGCTGTAATGTAAAACAAAAAGCAAAAACGTAAAACCAAAATATCATCGACTTCCCATGAATCTCCTCCCCCCCCCCCTCTCCCTACACAGAACAGTCAAAGGAACATTGGATATAATTAAACAATAATAGGAACTATATTTGTTAGGAATGCATGTAAAAGAAATTATTTATAGCCAAGAAGGACAAACAGAGCGCAGTGTGCAGTGGCATAGCTAGGTTAGTGGCGCCAGGGGTGGGCAAAGATTTTCGCAGCTCCATCACCATGAAAACTCTCTGCAGTTGGCCGAAAATGATGCCCCACATTATGTATATATTTTTTTTCAAATGCCCCCCCCCCCCACAACACCCCACACTTTCCTACAATTGTACATTCTCCATTTCTGCTCTTTTGCTGCCAATGTCATCAGATTAAAACTTAATCTAAATTATATTTTTTAAAGTCTATTTATAGTTTTCAGTGTGCTGTCCGTAAGCCGTAAGAAAAACTGCAACTGACACCATTTGAGTTTGAGGAAAAGGGGCAGCAGATCTTAGAAATACAATTAAAATTAAGTTATTACAATTACATCTCAAATAACATTACCAAAATGAAAATTAGGCTATCTGGTAAATTTGGAGAGATAGCACCGATGCGACCATCTTGGTTACCGCGACCGCAAACTTATGTCCTAAATGTATCCCTAAACCTAACCTGAACCCTGCCTAAATTTATCCCTAAACCTAACATGAACCCTAAACTTATCTCTAATCTAGGTTTTGACCCTCGGAACTAGGGTTTTGACCCTATCGGAACCAGAGACATAAAACGCAAATGACGTCAGGGTGCTATCTCTCCAAATTAGCAAAATGAGGTAAAATTATTATGCTTAAGTATTAGGGGCTTTCTCCCTATTTAATTTTCTTGAGATTTTTATTTTTAGCTAGTACCAGTAATTAAAGTAACAGTAACATCAAATCAAATGTTAAAATCAGAGTCTGAGTCAGTTTCAATATAACTTGACTTATAACTAATAACATTAACTTATTCTACCTTTCTTGGTAAGATAAATCAATAATGTAGTCTGGGTCTGATTTATTTAACTGTATCGCAGATTTATCAGTAAGTTGTAGCTGACGCATAATTGAAATGATATTTTCCATAATTAAAAGATACACAAACAACGCTCTTTCTTAGAGTTCAATTACAAATTTACAAAGCACGACACAGGGATGTCTTTGTTTACTTCCGGTTGTTCTGTAAGTGCTTTTCTTGTTTTCATTTTTCTTGGTCCACTGTTCCACACACTGAAATTGTTTGAGCAACCCCTCTGCGGTGCTATTTAAATAACTATTAAAAGCCCATTCGTTACCAATATAAAAATGGATTTATCATTTATGATTTTCCCCTCTATCACTACCCGCTCCCACCTTCTAGCTTCCGTGATTATAACTCTCATGTATGCTTCCTTTATACACGCCTATCATCGAAAAGTGAAACTCTTGTCTTAATCTCTCCTACAACCTAATATCCAATGAATAAAACAAAGTAAGGTCAAACCTAAAAAAAAGGAAGGCAAACAAACAACAGAAAAAACAGAATAGAATGTTAAAATAGCACTTAGCTGAGAAGTTGTTTGTTCGTCGAAGCAGGCTTACCGCCGACACTGTCACTGTTTTGTTGCGCTCCTTATTTTCAGGTTTGACCTTACCTTATTTTACTCATTTCCTATTTTGCTAGCTTGATAGAAGTCTCTCCCCTTTATTACCAACCTAATAGCTAACATATTATCCTTCCCAGCCCCCTTCACTGTCCACATTTAATGGCAATTAACTTAATCTTTAAACTTCCTCTATATTTCATTCCTTGAGACAAAGCTCGAAATCATATAACAAAGAATGACTTAGCAAAATAACATAATTTTTTTACAAATGTTCCTTTATATTATTTTAAGGAAAATTATTATTTTTTTAAATACCAACTTTCTGCAGATTGTTTAGATGGTGAGTGGGGAATTATTATCTGTAAAATTGCTGCGCGCTCATTAGACTAAGCTAAGTATTAGTACTGAATTTTAGCTGAGCAGTCTTTCAACCCATGGCCCTAGCCGGAAATTTCATTTCATTTTATTTTATTTTATTTATTTTTTTGGGGTGTGTGGGGGAGGGAGACCAAACCTTTTTTTTTTATTAGTGAAGGCAGAAGAATACATAGCAAAATTAAATAAGAATGACCACATTGTGATCTTTGTTTTCTCTTGTTAATTTTAAATTAATAAATATTTCTTAAACGTTAGGTTTTATGCTGTCATAGCTACTGATACCTAGTGTGTCCTAGATACTGATACCTAGTGTGTCCTAGGTACTGAGACCTAGTGTGTACTAGATACTGATACCTAGTGTGTCCTAGGTACTGAGACCTAGTGTGTCCCAGATACTGATACCTAGTGTGTCCTAGGTACTGAGACCTAGTGTGTCCCAGATACTAATGCCTAGTGTGTCCTAGGTACTGAGACCTAGGGTGTACTAGATACTGAACCTAGTGTGTACTAGGTACTGATACCTAGTGTGTCCTAGGTACTGATACCTAGTGTGTCCTAGGTACTGATACCTAGTGTGTCCTAGGTACTGATACCTAGTGTGTCCTAGGTACTGATGCCTCTTCCAATCCGCGCCTGCTTGCAGGCCCCAAAATAATATCTGAGCAGATTAAATTGATTAAATGGTTCCCTCCAACATTTGTGACAAGTTGTAAAAACGTTGACACTGCATTTGTGACAAGTTGTAAAACATTGACAGTTGCATTGACTTTGTCTCTACCTTGGCCCGTATGTACGAATGATGACTGCACAGCTTCACACAGATGATTAGAACAGAACTTAACAGCAACTGAATAACACCTGGCCTGTGACATTTGCTGGCACACTGCTTGGTATAGTGCTTGGTACAATGCTTGATACAATGCTTGGTACAATGCTTGGTACAATGTTTGGTACAATGCTTGATACAGTGCTTGATACAACGCTTGGTAAAATGCTTGGTGCAATGCTTGATACAACTTTTGAAACTATAGCCCTAGAAATTGGCTTTTAGTTCATAGAATTCTAGACTTTAAAAAAAAAGTCCATTAAAAAAAAACCATATTATTAAAATGATAAGAATACCTTTATTTATTCATTGGGGGGAGGGGGTGGTGTAAAGAAGAAAATTTCAAACATGGCCCCGTGTTTACGAGCTATAATCTTTAATACTATATTTTACTAACATACTCACACACCAAGTGTTCACAATAACATAATTAAATAGTTCTATCTATTGTTCTTATAAAAAAATAAAAAATCACAAAATGAATATACGGTTAAGTTCTTCAAACTTTAAAAAAAAAGTCCCAAGCAAGCACTCGTCTAATTCCTTGGTAACAACGTCAAAAGTTATCATCTCATCACCTCGTTGGTTTCATTCAGAAAATTTCAAATTGGTGACAGAGATGGAATCATTTGTTTTTCGTATGTCGTATGTCGTAATGCCTATTCGTGTGAAATCCGTTGACTACAGAGGTTTTCTTTTGTGCTTCCTGGTTCCGTGGCGTAATCCGATAGCATCGACTTTGGTAACAATTGAAGATGAAACAATTATAAGACCCAAATCGAGCAATGGCGCCGATGGAGACAAAAGACATCACGACATAGTCCAGTGGCAGTCACAGTTAAGATATTCTGTGATTACAATTGTTGTCGACTTCCTTAGAACTTAGAACGGATCCGCTCTTAAAAGTAGCACGCCTTCGATACTCGGTAAACTCAAGATCAGCATTGTGTCTAATTATAATCTTGAATCAGTCTGTGCTACGTGTTTCAAACACGCCTTTATGTTTGAGAATATTCTACGCGACAAACATGTCTGAACCCGCGGTCTGTTCGGCCTCACTGAAACCGCTGGTGCAAACCGCTGGTGCAACCCGTGGTACAGCCCGGTGCACTTGACAACACTGCGTTGAGCATTCTTCGGGGCGGAAATCAAGGGCGATACCAATGTCAGGAATTTTAAACAGTGGTTTTCAAACTATGGTCTATTGTCAACTAACACTATTGCGCTTATAACGTTAAAAAGGGTGGAATGTCCATATATTACATCCTAACATTTAAATAGGTGTCTGTTAAACCAAAACCAAAAGAAAAACAAAACACAATTTTGCACGCGAAAAGATTCTTGTGTTAAATTCATACTTTTTGGATTAGACTAGGGTTTTCTCGCCTGGGTTCCCTGTACCCACAAAGGTTTCGAGGTTGTATTTGAGGGGATGCGAGGAAAAGTGCCGGTAGAGCAGAGGAGTCACTGAATTTTAAGTCACGATATTAACGGATTATTTTGGAATTTAGACTCTATGTCATAAGTCACAAGGTTATATATGCAATAAGTCACAAGTTTACTTAAATCTAAGCTCTGGAGTTCTTCTTTTAAATTGAATAAACAAACCTGAAGTCCATTTTTTTCGTTTTTTTTTCTTCAAAATTTTAAAATATTATATTTTGGTTTTGTAAAAGGTGCGAGATGTAGTCAAACCATTGGCCGGTGCTACAAGACTCACTCTAAGGGTTCACAGGAGGTGCAGAGATTAAGACAAAAGGCTTCATTCGAAATTAGACAATCTATTCGATATTCGTATAAAGCTGCCTTCCACAGGTCGTGTTCTTACTCATTTTTTAGTTGCCGAAAAAGTTATATTTACACAGCAAAAAAAAGGGGGCACGAAACTGAACGCACATTTACGACCCATGACATTTTGGCCTACCACGATCATGAATGCGTCCAAGAAGTGCTCTGGAATCTAACCAATAAATCGTGATTAGACTGAACTGAATGAAGCAACACCCAACAAGGAAGTCGCGACGTCTGCCAGCATTAAAACACTTCTTAGAAACGGGTTCTGACAACGGCGCGATTGTATATGTGGAGCCATTATTTTCGGATTTGTCCATAAAGCTTGCAATGCTCTTTGGTGTTATTTGAATTCTCATTTTTAATACCATATTTTTTTTAAATTCTGCAATTCTACGCTTCGCTGGCCAAGTGTTATGCAATTGGGGTATGTCTTCCCAATGCTGCCTAAAAACTGGCATAAAAATGTATTGTTTCGTGAAGTGTGGAGATATCAGACAAAAATTGGGGGGGGGGGTGGTTGGAGCTAGTTATTCGTTATGGTTTTGAGAATGGCTGGACTTAGAAATTTAACTTGAAGGAATGAGTTGGTTCTAAAAGTAAATCTAGTTCGATGGTTGTTGATATGTTCTGTACCCCGATGTCTCGTTCTATGATTACCCCATATCAACTGTTCCAGAAAGTGTATCTATAGTTCTGTGGTTCTTGATGTCTACTGTACCCTAGTGTCTCGTTCTATGAAGCGCATTAATGAAAGCTATGCCCGATCAATGCCATCTGTAGAATAATCTACGCTTCGCTGGCCCAAGTGTTATTTGTGCTATGCATCTATACTATTTGAAGTACAATCATATTGGACTAGGTAACATGAGGATGCCTAAGAACACAATATATCAATAAGCTCAACAGTTATTTACTATTATTATTTTTTGTCATTCTAATTTCTGTTTTCTTGAAAACTGGGGATACATGACATAAAAAAATGTTAAACCTATCAATCATGGGAAACTCATGTTAAACCTATCGAGCACGGAAAACTTATGTTAAACCTATCGAGTACGGGAATCTCATGTTAAACCTATCGAGCACGGGAATATTATGTTAAACCTATCCAGCACGGGATTCTCATGTTAAACCTATCCCATACGGGAATCTCATGTTCAACCTGTCGAGTACGGGAACCTCATGTTAAACCTATTGACCATATGAAGAATCTCATGTTAAACCTATCGAGCACGAGACTCTCATGTTAAACCTGTCGAGTACGAGAATCTCATGTTAAACCTATCGAGCACGGGAATCTCATGTTAAACCTATCGAGCACGGGAATATCATGTTATTTTTAATTTAAAAGTTTGTAAATATAAGGGGAGGGGCGGGCTGAACGTGTTTCAAGACACAGCACGTGTCGTGGGTGTCAATTACAGAGTGGCGCTAGCACCCTCCCCAGAGACATTTTGATATATTCAATAATATAGGAATGCATTTTGGCACATACCTGAATGCTGGGGTGGTGACAAAACCTAAAAGTAGCATGGGGGCATGGGCGCCCGCAGGTAGGGGCAAGGGGGGCACTTGCCCCCCCTCCTGGATTGATTGGATAAATT